TCCTTGAGTCAAACGCCCTTTTGTCCTTCAAACAAAATCAGTTCTGTTTTGTTCCGAAATATTTTAACAGCATTTCAACATGTACAGTACTGTACGTAACCAACTCCAATGGTAGATGACAACTTATTAGATTCTAATTCATAAACTGTTTGTTGTATTGTGTCTGTACTTTTTGTGGGTCAGCTGCTACCAGTTTAGTCTGCCTTTGCTGACCCTTGTAATGATTTGTTTCATTGCCGATGAATACAACAAAATATAAGATATGATTTCAACTACAAATCCTAAATATAATGTGTCAACCTCTCACTATTATATAATAACAGTCTGTTTAGAAACATCTCTCACTGTAACGCTATCTACATGTTTAGTTCAATGTATTGTTTAGTCATCCTATCTAGAAACTATTTATTATAATCCTTGAGAAAAGAATTGATTACATTTTATTTCTTGTTTTGCTGATTCCATAACACAATTCCTCCCTTTCAAACATCACACACACAGCTTACCTGTAGTACATTTCACACTACAGGAAAGAAAGCACAACATTTGTCTTTTCCATCTTCTGTAAAGAAATAGGACATATGTCAAAAAATCATCTTGTGAGCAAAGTACTTCCCCTGAAATCCACTCCATCTAATTTTCCATTTTTTAGTGCAATACAATATTAATTTTACAATATTCATCCCTACACGTTTTGTTGCTTTAATGATTGTTTCACCAGGTAGATTTTCTTTTCTTCATGTTAAAGGACAATCAGCATTTCAGAACGTTTAAAAAGCTTGAAATGTACAATGTGGATCATAATGAGGAGGATATCAGGGAAAACAGTTTGATCGCAAATGCTTTTGAAAACATCCCATTACTATACAGAATGAAACTACAGACAATATTACAAGTGCTCTCGTCAATAGGAAAATGTACTGTGTTCTCCGCCATAAATGCAAACAATATTAGTCACAACCTTAAACTAGATATTAGTATAAGAAATGTGAACTATTTCAATCAAAAATGACAATGAATAGAAGAGAGGGCAAGGTTGGATAATCAGGTGTTTGGAACTAAAAATACAGAGCATCGCAGAGATGCCTTATTCCAACATATTTCATTGTCATTTTTAGGGGGTCTGCATGCATGGGATGTCCCGATCACGCTTTACACTAAATTCTGGAAGCAGCAGTCATGACTCATTCTTTATTTGTGTAAACATAGACTTGGTTCAAGTTCGAATTACGCAAAATGTCAAAGCGCAATAGTATGCAAAGCAGCGACCCGGTATTACGCTTCATTTATGCAGGCTTAAAGCTCTATCCATAAATTATGCAAAGATTAACTCATAACGACCCGATTTTGAATTAAGACGTGTGCTTACGCATTGCGGCATGCAGACCCCATTTTTGAAAGAGTTCTAAAAATAAAGGCCAACTCACGTCAAGGTCCGATGTTCTCTTGTCTCGTAGATAGGTGACAGGTCCCTCAGGAACACACACAGGCAAATCCTCCTGGAATATACACACCCAGGTCCTCCAGGAATGTGACAGGCACACAGGATAGCAGACAGGTCCCACAGCACACACAGGAACATGGTCAGGTACTGTCTCAGCTTCACATAACCTAGGGTGTAAAAGAAATAAACATTCAGAAAACTCTCATGCCAAATTTACATACACCAAGGATACACCAATCTTTACATAACATGCATGACATCATAATATTCACAACATTCATTATAAAACCTGCTTTGGTTGGGGCAAGAGCAGATGGAACATTGGTAGTGAGGCAAAAGAAGAGTACAGCCAAAAGTAAACAGAATATTCTGAGCAAAGAACAATTACATTAAAATACATCTCACACATGATATCGCATAAAAAATCACAGTTCATTTGTTCTAAAATCTGCTTTGGTTGGGTGAAGAGCACATGGAACCTTGTTTAGTGAGGCAAAAGAAACAGTGAACATACATGTCACAAACAGTGAACATACATGTAGAATATCATAACCAAACAATAATCAGATAAAAATACATCTTACACAATATATCACATAATTTACAATCCACATAGCAACAAAATATACATTTCATGTTGACATTGAGCCATTGACACACATGACATGCATTCCAAATATCAGTTATGAAATTTGAAAAAACAAAGGTCGATGTACAGAAATAAAAACAGTAATTTGGCAACGGTGTCAACAGCACATCTAAGGTACTCCAGTTAGGTAAGACTGTTCTGCAAAAAGGCAAACATAAAACATTCTGATAACAATTTCAAATAACACCAAGCTAGAAATCCATGTGAAAGTTATTAAATAACTGCAGCTCATATAATGAATTACCCAGTGGCACATCCATCTGAAAACATTAAATGTTACAATTTTCATAAAGTACGGGTATCAAACACTGAACTGCTTGAACTGGAGACAAACAAAAGGTACATTTATGTACAGTCATGTTACCACAAATATGAAACCTGGGATTTTTACAATAAATCACACATTTTAACACAAGTCAAATGCTTCATACAATTTCTAAATTATAGTAGTTGGCAATAAAAGATATGGAGAAATGCACGTCATGTCAAATATGTATTCGTGTATCAATATGAAATTAACCATCATCATGCCATGCAAATGAAACTGTCATGATTTCAATTTTTAACAATCATTGCTCTCTCTATCTCCATCTTATCTAACACCTTCCCCCCTGAAACTGGGGGTTAGACATGGTTGCATCAAGTGCAAGTCTTGAGATGCCCCTTAATGTATACAGACCCATGTTATAGCAACTGACAAGGCTTTATCCCACCATATTCACCTTGGGGCGGGTCATTAACCCTTAATTAGTAACTGCACTTTGAAGTGCAGGTGAAATTTTTTTGTAATTTTGTAGACCTATTTCATCCTTTACCTTTATTTAGTTTGTTTATTTTCTTGTAATTTTGTTAATTTATGAATTAAAAAAAGGGCCTCGATAACCAACATTGTTTTTCGCTGATTGTTGGGAAATAAATGTGAATAAAATTGTCAAATAGCAAAAAAGCGGTGATTTGGTAGCTTAGGTGCGAATACCTAAGTCACTATCTATTAAAATTTGTCGCATATCTCAAAGCACTCAAAAGAGCGCCCTCCAGTGGCCGTTTTACTAAGTGCAGACTTAAACATAGGGAACCGTGGGCGGAAATAATTTTGGCCACTCTTTCCGTTTTTACTTCATTTCATTACCAATGCGTTTGCTTAGAATAGTCACGAACGTATAGAGGACAATGTTAGGTAGCACTCACCGGCTAAAACGGACGTAGCGCGTCTTGCAAGGCGAATTTTAACCGCCGAGTTCTGCCCTCCTGAACACACTCGCCATCTTGGAACGGCGCAGTGACGGCGTGGTCTTATCACCTGTTAACGAATCACCAGAATTTGCATTTAGGCCATGTCGATTTGATTATATGGATGACATCCACGCACGCATGAATTTTCGTCCGTTTCCAAAAAAAGTTTTTGACCATACTGTAAGTCACACAAGGCACCTGCAAAATGAGCAAATATATGCCGTAATTAAATTGCAAAAAATAATATTGGAAAACGATACTAGTGTCGTAGAATGACAATTGCAAAGTCGTTTCCAAAGGAAAAGAAGAGAATGCCATACCATACCCTGTATGTTTAGTCATTCATTCAATCTTCATGACTATGCACGTAGATTTCATGATGAAGGCAACTTTTAATTTTTTTGGCCAAACTTTTTTTTATTCGCACGCTCGCATCAGTTTTGGGGTTCCCATTGGATGTCATCCCTATAATCGAATCAACATGGCCTAAATTAAGTTAAAAATAGATTAATCACAACGTAATAGGCAAACAAAATATACAGACAAAACGGTCATATTTGTCATAATTTGCCTTACGAATATTGTTGACTTATAATTCAACATAAAAATGTTTCTCTTATTAATATTTTCTAATAAAAACATTAAAGAAAACTATGTAAATGGCAGGCCTGATTGGTTCTTATTTTACATGGTTTTAAAATGTGCACAACGTAACAAACTTCATCAACTCAAAAACGTCGTTAAAGAACCCTTGCCCTACCATAACTACAAAGAGTCGCCCCCCTAAATGGCGAACTATGCCCTCGCAGCATAAAAGGGCTGCCGACTACATCACTATTCTATCAGTCAAGTTTGACAGGGTCGCTGTCCTTCAGGTCATTCACACAAGCGATGAAATTTATCTGAGTTCTTTAAATAACTCGACACCTCGTCAATGTCACCTTCCCCAAGTCCGGCCCTGTTTGTGTCTCAGTAGCCAGTTGCAGGCCCCGAACATCAATTTTACAAGAAGTTGTCCGAAGAAGAAAACTGCTGTTAGCGAGATATTAGACGCTAAACAAGGACAATAACAACAAACAACAACAGTGGCTGAAACAACTACACTCAACTATACTCTAGTAACTATATATACTCATGTAACGTCGTTAACTGTAATTCATTTAAAGTTGTGGGGCATCGATGTCGCGATAGGGTGGAAAGAATGTGTTTCAAGTTCGCCGTGAACAAAAAGCCTCATTATACCTGCGCCACATTGTCGACGGGACGCATTAGGAGCAGCACGACCAGCGAACACCGACCCTACCCTCTAATAATAGCCAAAGACAACCAGGAGTGGACTACTGTGGACCATAGGGGTGTCATAATTTAGGTACAAAAAATACACCACGTTATCTTTTTTAAAGAAGAAAATACGATACATAAGTGTACGGTGAACTACACTATTATACAGCCAGATACCATGAGACATTTTCCCATAGACCAGCGAGCTGTATGTAGTCTTTTCTCAGTGTTTGAAGACCCCTTCCTAATGATAAGTGCCTTAATAATTTAATTAAGGAGTGCCTACAATCGCTTCGTGACGTCCTTGGCCTTCCTAGCAGAACTTGACTACTTGTTGGATTGCGCCATCTCTTCATTTCACTCTTCAAAGCTGGTGTCATATCTCCACTGAAAATGTCTTTGGAGAAAGTTGTCATGGACCAAGGTAGGCTATCATGTATAGTTTCATGTGGCAGATCTTCAAACTAGTTTCTTTACCAGAAAAAATAACCGCTTCTTTTTTTCTGAACATGTTTCACTTTCCTTCGACAAAGTTTTAAGTATACATAATGTTTCATTCCATCAAGGTTCCGTCCCTTCCCTGTCTGGTGTGGGCCTGCAGCTGACCAGGCCGTACAAGAGGCAGTGCGGGCGGCGGACGGGACTGGTGCTCCTGGCGGGAGGCTGTCTGGGCGGGGTGCTGGTGTGCGCCGTCCTCATGCCGCTGGTCTACGTCACCATGTCAGACAGACAGCTGGAGTTGGAGGTGTCCGAGCTCAGGAACCTTGTGGTAAGGATCAGACTTGACCCGGACAAAAACAGAAGAAAAACTTTTTTTAAGTTAATTACAAGGTGCGTAGGACCACAGTTTGATGCCGATACGACAAGAAGGACCTTTGTTCAGGCTTATCGAAAAATGTACAGTTAGTGGGTGTCTCCTAATCTCCAAGCAGATCTTTTGGTGGCTGAAAAGACAGAATCGAATTGGCCAGGCTGCCTCCATTGGCCAGAAGGTTACCACTTCGGTGGCGAAATAGTAACTGCCTGGCTAATGGATACAGCCTGGCCAAGTTTGATTCTGTCTCAGTGCAGTTACCAAAAGATCTGCTCTCCTCAAACATGGGGCTTCCGGCTTTATGTCCCATCAAAGTTAAAAGGACGCCACTTGTACCTGAGTCGAGTGATAGTATTGGCTGGTGTTAAGTGCACAGAAGGTCACACCATCGGGGCCTGCTAGATATTCGAATCCAGAACCATCTTACTTGATTAAGTAAAGGAGAACCCAGCACCAGGCCAAGTTCACCACCGAACAAAACCCCCTATTAAATAAAATCATGTGGAACAAAGACCCTTAGAAAATGGGAACAGATGACACGCCACGTATTAGTGATGATTGTTCTGGGAAACGGGACATTGTCTACCTACTTCAGTCTTTCATATCATATTCTTTACATAATACAACAGATCAACCTTTCTGCACGGACCGCCTTACCTGGTACGGAGGACCGAGAGAACGACACTGCTACGGGCGGGGCACACAGACAGCGGAGACGGGCCGACCCGCCGCCGTCTATCGGTGACGTGTACGTGCGGTGGGGAAGGGACGACTGTGGTGAAAACGCCAAGACTATCTACTCCGGTAGGTCAAACAGAAGACCAAGGTTGATATCAATAACACTTAGGCTTATCCAATAGTCAACTCACGCTGCTTGAAACATTCTCCAGAGATATCAATCGATAATGATTCAGAAAATCATCCTCCCTTTTCATAGGTGTTGTTGCAAGCGGATTTTGGGAATACCAGGGAGGGGGAAATGACTACCAGTGCCTGCCCCTGGAAGGAGTGGAGTGGAACAACCCAGTGGCCGGTAATCAGCACCAGAGCTACATCTACGGGACTGAGTACAGCGTCGGTGCTGGACTCTTCTCCACTGACAACATGGGGTACATCACCAACCCTTTTGACTACGACGTCCCCTGCTCGGTGTGTCTCGTGTCCGGTCGGTCTACACACGTCATGATCCCCGCCCGCCTGTCCTGTCCTCGGGGATGGAGTATGGAGTACAGCGGCTACCTGATGACAGCTCCTACCTACCACCACAACAGCAAGAACTTCATCTGTATGGACGGAGCTCCCCAACTCAGGCCAGGATCATCTGCCAACCTTGAAGGCGCATCCAATCTGCACCTGGTGGAGGCGCAGTGTGGCTCTCTTCCCTGTGGGCCCTACATCAACGGCTACGAACTGACCTGTGTGGTCTGCACCCTGATGTAAACTGCTATTTACTCAACTGGGCGGCAAAGCGCCCATGCATGTTTCCCTTCACTGTCTGATTTTATAAGTGCGTGATTGTTTGTTTTGTGTAATGCAGGTGATTGTGCTTTTTGTGGTGTAGTTCAACGGTGAATGGATCAACTGTAACGGTTATACTTTCCAGACATATGTACAGGATAGTAAAAACAATACATTTCCTTTCACCTATACAGAGTCTACGGAGGGAAATATAATTACAGTGGCTAGATAAGTTACAGTCATAAATTGCCTTGGGTGATTATTGGGGAATGATTGCTTTATGATGTAATGTTTTATTTGAGATGTAATGCACAGAAATGCAAATGAGCAACCTAGTCTTAAAGTTGCTCACGAAGTTGTCAGTCGTTATCACTGTTGTTGTACTTGTTGGCAAAGTTCTATGTGTGATCTCTTGGATTTCATGTAACATACATGTAGTGTGTGTTGTTTGTAGATGTTTGTCACATGCTTACATATCACGTTGTTATAGATTTACTATAGAAAGTTCGGATACCACATTAAATGTACTTTAAATTGTTATACTAGTACTATTAATTTTCCCTTTCCTTCCCAACACTTCGTCATGAATGTACTTTCTTCAAATAAAACCGTGTATGGACCAACTTCGCTAGTACTACTTGCCTTTTTCTCCAAGCCGAAGACTTGAGAAAATGTAAAACATTTGCAGCCGACTAGATAGAGTTAAAAATCAGTGGAACATACTCTCCAGAGGACCAACTCCCTCTGCATGTCATTCTCTCTATTTGGCCAATTTCTACTCTTTCCAGCCGCCTCCCGAAGCCTGGTAGAGGCTAGGGAATCTTACTCTCGAAGCAGAGGTTTCGGTAATTTTTGCCGTGTTTTTAGGCTTTTTTTATCGAGGTTTCTTTTTTTGCACTGGAATTTTTTTTCATCCATCCAAAAACTCTAAAAAAACACGCCAAAAACAAGAGTTTCACGATCTCATACCTTCGCCAAAAGATGTTAACCCTTGCGGGTGACGAATTCTACAATTTAATCATTGATTTTGTAAATAAGAGCCTCATTTGCATGGATTATATCAGTTGATCATATTCTCCACCCAATGACAGCCTTATCATAACAAAAAGGCTATTATAGCACTTCCTTATAAATTATGCAAATGGTGTCATGATTTGAATAAATTATGTTTATTAATGTTCACCTTCACTTAACTTCCAAATGTGGCAAGTATGAAATTCGGGGTGCAGCAGTTACAACTATGGAATTATAAGAATTTGCCATTAATTATGCAAATTAGGTCCTCATTTACATAATCTATATCCTCAGATGTTTTTCTCGTTCTCAAGTAGATGTCACAACTGTTTCATAGTTCTATTATCGAACAAATCAGATTTATAGAATTTCCTCATTAATTATGCAAATTAGCTCCTGATTTGCATAATTGTCATCTGATTATGTCAAGCATCACTTCAACTACCTGCATACCAAAAATCACGACAATACGTCAACCGGTTCTTGAGTTATCGTCCTTCAAATTTTTTCAACAAATGCTCCTGCAGTTCCAGAACAAGGCGCTAGGGGACCCAAACTCATGTCACTTCTTCCCTACCCCAAGAGCTATCTACCAACCAAAATTCGTGACCCTAGCATGTCCAGAACATGAGATATCAAAACCGGAAGTTCAGCTGCAGTACCTAGGAAAGCCGCCAGGGGGCCAAAAATCTAATCATTTCTAGGTCTCGTGAAGTCCTACCTACCTACCAAGTTTCATTCCCAACCCATCCACTGCCTCTCGAGTTATCTTGCTAAACCACACACACACACACACACACACAACACACCCACACACACACAGACAAACGCTACTGAAAACATAACCTTCTTGGCGAAGGTAATAACCCAAAACCCAAACCTCTGCTTGGAGAGTAAGGGAATCCGCACAACAGGTGCAAAGTGTCCCGCGCAGGGACTTGTGGGATAGCCGGTTTCCAACATGGCGTTGCAGTGTCAGCAGAACAGTTACCTCACGGAAGTAAGGCTTTTTTCTCGCCAAATCAGGCAGAACCGTACCGAAACACGGGGTAGAGCACTGGGAAGGGGTATTTCTTCTATTCTCTGTGGGAAATAGTTATCTGATTCACCTAGACCCGCACTGGAAAAAGAAGGGTCCGGGCCCGGGCGGTTCACATGTGACCACCAGTGCAGTACTTGGCCATATACTTTAGAAATTTAGGGCCGTCCAATGTCCGTATATTGCTCCGAAATCGATATTCAGCGATCGAAGAACACGATTAATTAACTATTGCAGCAATGCTTTATCTGCCACCACGCCACCTAGTTTGTATTATATGTAAGGCAGTTTAAATGCACTTGTCAAGGAAAACCCAGAGGGGGGAACCCTCTATACCCACTAGCGGTTGATTTCCTAAATATGTCACCAGTGGATTTGAAAATAGGTCCACAATTTCTCTGTTTTTCTTGCAGTTTTCCAGCAAAGTTGTGTCCTGTAATCCTGGCCAGCTGGTCATCTCCAAGAAAAAAAAGCAACCAGGTTATGAGGTCATATTGGAAGATACCATTCTGTTCCCGGAGGGGGGAGGCCAGCCAGATGACAGAGGAAAGGTATGTCAAATCGCAAAATGGTAGCCTCCTTCGCATTTTGATTTTTTTTATAGAGATGCAACAGTTTTGCCGCTTAGTTAGTTTACCGGGGAGAGAGTTTTACACCACCCAACAAGCCTGCTAATTTCACTTGGCCCCTTCAAAGGGAGTATAAAGAGAATAAGATCAACTGACAAGTTCATGTGAATGAGGATCTTGTTTTCATAATGAATGAATAATATGCATAATTTTCAACATTTGTCAACGTAAACAACATTTGGCAAAGGTATGAGATCGTGGAACTCTAGCCATTGCTAAATAACATACGTGGTGGGAGGAGAGGAAGTACCTGGAATGACAAGAGGGTGGCACAACAGGTGTTGCCTCCAGCCACCAACACATCCTCAAGGTATTCTCAAGGTATCATTATAGGGGTAAGTCTGGTGCCCTTGTTGCTTAGCCACATAAAATGGCAAAGAGATTTTGTATCTAAAACTTCTTTTCTGCTTCTAGATCAATGATGTAGATGTCATTAGGGTGACAAGGAGACAGAACCAAGCTGTCCACTTTGTAGAGACTCCCCTTGAGGTGGGGTCAGAGGTCAAGATGGAAGTGGACTGGACAAGGAGGTTTGACCACATGCAACAGCACTCTGGTTAGTGCTTTCTTTTTCAGGAAAGTCTGGTGTTCTAGATACCTAATCTCCAAGCAGATCTTTTGGTGGGGAAATGGTTACAAACTGACCAATTTGATACTGTCTTACCCCCACCAAAAGATCTGCTTGGAGATTACTAGATACCACCAAATTATAATCCACAAGCATATGTAACAGTGGGGTTCAAACGTCACCAAGTCTGGCCAGTCAGCACGTCGGCAGAACGTACTGCACCTGCGCGAAACCCATAATGTATTGTACATAGCACTTCGGCAAAAACGTCTCATATAAGGTCGTATTCACACATATAAGGAAAACATCTCGTCTGTAGTTTCCAAATGTTATGTCGGAAAAGTTATCCTCTGCAACAGGCAAAATTCTAATGCAACGTTGATCAAAAATCCATCGAAAACCGTGAAAATACAGGGTTCTGCGCAGGCGCAGTACGTTCTGCTGACGTGCTTGGCCAGTCTAATATATAACAGGTCTGGACCTTTGTGTGATTAGTGCATTGGGTGTTGTACCGGTAACTCCATGGTTTGTGAGCTGCGAATGTATATTTTCCTTTCAGGTCAGCATTTGATTACCGCCATTGCAGAGGCAAAATACGGATGTAAGACAACGTCATGGTAAGTCTTGGTGTTTCCCAAGTTGTTCAGATCTAACAGGGCTTAAAATTCATTTTTGGGAATAGGTGTACTGGTGCACACAGCCTAAAAAATTGAATGCAGCAAAATAAGTAGAATGTCACCAAAAAGTAATTATGTTTCATTTGTAAAGAAAAGTACTACAACAATGATAGTGTTATTTTATATATATTGCACTGGATGCCTTTAAATGCAGTATTGAAAGAAAATGTGTGCAATGCTTGCAGGGAGCTTGGCAGTAAAGTTTCCTCCATTGAGATGGACACTCCCAGCATAACAAAAGAACAGTTATCTGAGCTGGAGAAGGAGGTGAATGCTTGTATCAGGAGACAGATCCCCATGACACCACGTCTGTTGGAACCTGGGTCTCCTGAACTGGAACAGGTGAGCAGAGGGAATGGTCTCTTCGGTTTTCTAACCAGCTAGAATGTTTTTTTATGTCCTCTCCTTTTTGTTTGACGTAACATCATGTCAAGGGCTGAAGGCATAAAGTCTAGGCGTGCCAATTAATAATCACAAAGAGTCACATAATACGCATATAACATGATACATATACATGTACTAGTAACATTTTTGCTCCACACACTTTTTGTGGAACTGTCGCAAGCTCTATTCGGCACCACAAAGTGACCTCAATGCTCACCAGGGAAAATCTTGACATCCTGACTAAAATGCTATTTTCTGCATTTTGTGGTAGAAATTTTGCTGGTAGACTAAGCTTGATTTAATGACATCTTCCATATCTTTACACGCAGAGTTTTCTGTCAAAGATGACGGATTGGGCAAAGTTTTGTCTGTCACGAGCGGCATAATTCTGTGAAATGACAGAAAGATGGCTAGATGACTTAGCAAGCCATTCTTTTAATTCATCGTAGCTAGCTGCTCTATAGTATAATTCGAAGCTTGTTACCCATACCAACAAACTTTTGTAAAACTTGTGTTTCCCAGTAGTGTCCACTCGTTGAAGGTTTGATGTTACAGGCGTAATTTTTTCCATTGTTAGGTGCGGTCCCGAGGTTTGCCTGATGACCACATCGGTCCTGTACGTGTTGTTGAGATTGAGGGTATTGACCACAACACCTGCTGCGGAACCCACGTGTCCAACCTCGCTCATCTTCAGGTGAAACAACTCTCAAAATACGCGTCATGAGGATGTACTTGGGGGATTGTAGGAGCCCAAATAAGTAAAAATGAGGATGTACTTGGGGGATTGTTGGAACCCAACTTATTAAAAATGAGGCTGTACTTGTTGGATTGTGTTTTTGAGGTGTTAGGTGTTTTTCTAGTAATTTTGGCAATGTTTATAAAAAAATTTCTCTCATGGATAGAACTTATAAAGTAATGCATTCCTTGCTTGATAACATTTGTATACATGTATGTTCATCATGACATTTGGGACGTGTGATATATCTAGTTGTTATTTGTTATTCAAGGGAACCTCCTTGGTTTTTATAATGTGGTTTAAATCATAAAAAAATTCTGTCCACCTTGAAGGCTATCAAGCTGCTGTCAGCAGAAAAAGGGAAGAAAGGAAAGACAAATGTGATGTTTGTGGCTGGAAACAGGGTGTTGGACTATGTAGGGAGGGCCTACGACAGAGAGAAGAGCCTGACTGGCATTCTCAAGTAAGTTCAAGGGGGTGTTAGATAAATGGAAGAGCTTACTACTTAACAAGGTAATCATACTAGTAGTATCTGCCTTCCATATACAATGTACAAAATATTGAAAGCCTGAAATTTTTTGGCATGTAATTTTCAACGTTTTCAAGGTTACATGAAGGTTTAAGAAATTGCCTCAAAATATTTGGCGACTGCTTAACATATGTAACTTTTCAATGCGTCTTTCTTTGCAAGCACAATCCATGCACTTTGACTGAATACAAACATGTTCTTTACTCTCCATGAAACTAGATGTCCTCCAGAAGAGCATGTTGAGATGGCAGACAAGCTACAGAAATCTCTAAGGATGTCAAACAAGGTCTGTGTCAGTTTAAGACATATAATAAATTATGTGAATCTGGCAAAATAGCAGTGAAATCTTACAAGATAACAGTGTAATCTTACAAAATAACAGTGAAATCTTGGAAAATAACAGTTAAATCTTACAAAATAACAGTGAAATCTTGGAAAATAACAGTGAAATCAGGCAAAATAGCAGTGCAATTAGAGTATGGTTTGGCAATATAACAATTTTGGCATTTTCTCCCTCTCAACACTATTTCCTGCATTTTGAGGCCAAATTTTGCTGCCAACCTAAGCTTAGTTTTATGATATCTCTAATTCCATTTATTTACACAAAGTTTTTTCTATGTCAAAGATGATGAACCGGGCAAATTTTTTGTCCGTCGTGAGCGTTAAAAATCTGTCAAATGACAAAAAGACAGGTACTGGCTAGAACACTGGTTTGAATACAGGCTTCTGTTCAAGTAAATAAACATGATTAATTTATTTATTTGTTACTTTACTTGTTAGACATGTACAGGTCTACTCAGAGATGTTGCTGTATTAGAAGCACAGAGATACAAGAGTCAGCCTAACAGAGACCCAGTCTTCTGTCTGCACAGGTAAAGCCAATGCAATTTCAGAGCAGCAAAACTGGAAATATTCTCAATAAGGCAATATGTATGATATCGACACATACTGCTCCACATTAGTATATTTGCATTCAGTACATCATAGTAACTTTTAAAATGTAAATATATAACTTGTATGTATTAATGTAAATGTAAATATATAACTTGTATGATTGACCTCTGACCTCTCAAACAAGCTTTTACCTCGAGCTCATTACTTGGTGTATATAGAATAGGATAGGTTAAATAAGTAATTAGTTACAGGTTGTTGTATTTTACGTATAGCAGTAAGAAGTGTACGTCTGTGTTATAAGTCTGTAACGTGTTTTAAGACTCCAGGAAGAATAGTGGGTATAAGTGTATACTCACTAATGGAGATCATTCAAATAAACAAATAAACAAAATAAACAAATACTTTGAATGAAAAAAAAGGTAATAACATGAATAGTGACTTGCCATCGCTGTGAAATTCCAATTTAACAAGCTTATTCCTAGGGCCTTGATTCAGTGACATGAGAATATTATGGGTCATTTGATTCATACTGTAGTTGGCTCAGTTCTTACAGTCCAATGTGTGACCAGACTTATTTATTAATTTATTGATATTTATCAAGCTTTTGTATCCCATTCCTTTCATCTAGGAAAGAGGGAGACAGTGAGTTCATGAACATCATTGCAAATGAGATTGGAAATGAGGTAACCACTCTCCCTAATAAGTATACAGGGTTTGAAAATCCTGGGTGCATATGCACCTTTGTGTGCCTAGTATTGGAGCTGTGAATTTTTGACTGGGTGCACTACTCTGTATGCCCACGTCATAAACTCCGGAGGTTGCCCATTAAAACTGTGTTCTGCGACCTGAATCAGTGCTTACTCGTGTGACCTCTGACCTTACCCAGAATGCCCTGGTCTTGCTGTCAGTTGGAGATGAGAAAGGGGCGGGGACGTTCCTGTTGTCTGGACCAGCTGATGTGGTGGAGGCTGTAGGACCAAAGTATGTGCACAAAAAACTTACGCTAAGAATAGAAATTTCATGAAAAACACAGCAACAATTTTCTAGTTGTGCCAGTGTGTTTTATGCTTGAAGTTTTTGTTTTAGTTTAGGCCATGTTGATTTGATTACATGTATATGAGAGCTTCTCTTTTGTAGTGCAAAAAGAGAGCTTCTGCTGTCAGTTGTGCATTCACAACCTCACTGGAACTATCATCGATCATTCAATATCTTTCTTTTTAACTTAAGGGTTGCCGAAGTGTTGGAAGGGAAAGGAGCTGCCAAGAGAGGAAGGTTCCAAGGAAAAGTAACCAAGCTGGCCAACCTTAAGATGGCAGAGGAGGTCTTAAGAGAACACTTTAAGACTCAACAAGCAGCATAAAACATAACATAAAGGATAACATAAAACACATTAACTCAGGGGCACAGATGTGGACTCAAAATGTTTTACAGAATTGGAAAGATCTACTTTTGAATGGAAAATTACCTTGATAGTTTTTTTGAGCATTTGTTCTGGCTTTACACCAAAAAAAAATTCTGACTTTCATAATGCTTTGATGTCTTTGTACAAGTATATTTGCAAGGTAAAGCTAAATCAGTAACGTAAGTATCACCCTCTATTAATTAACTTTATGCATGGTACGTTTTCTGTAATGCAATGTGGATCTTCCACAAATCATGGGTCACTTCTAATATTACCTTTATGTACAGAGGTTCATATGTTTGTGTGTCTGCATGTGTGTTTCCATAGTAATCAATCTCCAGGTATTATAATACATCAATTTTTCAGCGATATGTATGTTTGTTGCTTTATGTGAGCCAGTAGGCAAATGCAAAGACAGTGAGAAATGCATGATAAGGAATAAACTGAGAAATTCATAAAAAGTCAAGGAGGTATAAAATCTTTGATTTCATGTTAATAAGTTTGTTGGGTTCATTAATATGCAGAGGCTAGCACAAGCGTGAGGCTCCCCCATAAATGTACATTTAAAATCTATTGTCGATACATTTACAATTAGACATTTGTGCCATAAAATGGTAGACAAGGTTGACATGTACAAGTCCATTTTAGAAATGACAATGACCAAGAAATGGAGTGACACATCTTTATTCCTGGACCACTTTTTTTACTGCAAAACTCCTGGCTCTTTCTAAACAAGTGGTTGTGAATAAAGAACTTTGCTATTCAGTCATTCACCAAACCGAGGAAATTATTCACAAATTCCTATTCCAGTCAACTGCCGTTGATCATGAGGTCTAACCAACAGGCAAACGTTGCAAGATATCAACCATCTCCTCCAGCTACATAATAACATTAAACAAAACAAGCACACTCCCTTTTCTGCTGTAAATTCTTCCACCCATGCAGTGATAACATATGATGGCTACTGTCTGTCTCCAGCTGCCAAAATCATTAAAGACATCCAATGCAATTTCAGGGGAAGCCCAACTGAATTCTTAAAGTCAACTTATTGGCCATTGTTTTATTGTAGTAATTTGAATTGAGCCCCATCCCATAGTATACTGATATCTGTGGCATAAAAACGGAAAACGGTTGCTAATTTTGTATCATAGGCTCGTTCTAGCTATTTATAAGTTTTCCCAAAAAAGATGCGCCTCAGGTACAATGTAGCTAATGTTCTTGGGCTATTTCAAACACTTTGAGTATGAAATGATAAGGAAAATGTACTTATAAATGACAGTAACTGTAAATATCAGACAGACTTTCTCAACCACTATATTTTTGTTTTGCCCCAGATTATTTTCAACATTACAAATCTATACATGTATCTCAGTATTAAATGACACCCAAAACCATTTCTTAAGCCAAGAGCTGTATAATATTACCAAGTAAAAAACGTTAAGGAAACACTACCAGGTCCTGTATCCTTGATTCAAGGACTAGGATCCACAACCAGGACATTATAATGTTAACACATTTTATTTTTAAGAGGAGATTCCAAAGCAATCCTTGGATATAAAAAAAGACATATCAAAAATATGATGTTAGCATGATGAACATAAGCATATCAATCACCTTAATCTAAAAGGAAACAGGAGGTAAAAAATTCCAACGAATCACCTGCCAACAAATCACCATGAAAATTCATTTAATAATATTATATACAAGTTGTCTAGTAATATTCCAAAGTCCTAACTTGTAAACAAACCAACACCTGTATGTCATGTATATGTGAATTTAAACCTAACCTATTGTATGTAGATAATGTAGATGAAATCTTGATAGAATTTCCCACTAACTACTTCATAAAACAAAAATTTAAAACAAAAAAAGTAGTTTTCCAAGCTTATAAATTTGATTGTTCTTTCTGCCTTTTTTTTCTGCGGTAGAAAATTATGGCTTGTTGTTCCTCCAGTCAAAATGTACTTTTTTCTCAGACTTAGTTGATGGAGTTGTGGCACGAAGTGCATTGATGGCCATGGTTTGAGTGCGTGCTTTCCTCCAGTTTAAGCGAGCATTTTCTCTTGAACTTGTATCCAACTGGGTCTGATTTGTATTGAAGCCAACACTGTGCTTCCTCCAATCAAGGCGGTCAGTTGTCCCCACTTCCTCCTAAGCATTTAAAGAATAACGAATGTTAACAAATAACAATATTTTGTCTCACAGGCAAATAGCCTTGCCATTGGCTCTCACAAATTCAGTTCAGATTTTGGTAATTACTAGACTGGGCATAAAAACAACAATGGCAAGGCTAGTTGTATTTCTTCACCTGTGGGGGACCCAAAGTATAGCTCCTATTTGGGCATGACACTTTTTGGCAACCTCTCGAGCCAATCTGTAGTATTGTAGTAGGCATGCAAATATTATGAGAAGTCTGCCAATAGATAGATAGATAGATAAATAGATAGAGTCCATGTTTGAATTCTTGGTGGCACCAAATTAAGGCATGGAGTTTTCACAGAGTACATGTAGGATGAAATCAGCTGCTGCTTTGTTCATAGGAATTATTCATTTATCACTGGGATAAGTTTTGATCCGGATCCCTTGGTTTCTGATCTGCTACAACATATAAGCTAAAATTTGACAAAGTTTCACTCACCGATTCCTGTTTGTCCTTCTCCTGTATCACAGCCATGGCCACCACTTTTCGAAACACGGATCCCTTTCGGGCAGATCGCACAACCTTCCCAGAATCCTCCTCTTCCTCGGAGCCATTTGAGAAGGACCGTTGCAGTTTGTCTGTTGATGTGAGGCAGTTATTCTTCATCCTCTGTCTCAAGTGTTGCCACTTGTTCTTACCCTTTTCCTGGCCTATGGAAGGAATTACAAAAGAACATTGATAACAGAGAAATTAAAGGAACCTTGCAATTTCATTCTCTCCTTTGCAAAAGATATCTTTTCTTACACAACCTTTGAAAAGTACAGACTCTATACACAGATATCATTCTTACATACTATATAGTAGTATGCACGTACCACAAACCATACCTTTGACCTGATTTTCTCAATGACAAATTGTATCCATCTGCTCCAGGCAGGCAAGAACCCATCACTCCAGGTTTCTCATTATGCCCACTAAACTGAAATAAACAGAATTTGACCAAAGTAGGAAAGTTTAAAAACCTACCTGTTTCTTCTAGCCCAAAAGTCTCTATGCTGGACCAAAATTTTCATGAGAAAAAAGGATTTTCAGACTAGATTTGTTCCCATTTCGGACCCTCCACTGCGCAATGCAAAAGTGATGTCTGCCCTTCTGCTGACGTGCTCACCTTGTGTATCGTCTGTTGTCGGGCTCCTGACCAACCCCAGGCTCACAAGTGACAGGTCCGCCGGAGTCAGTCCCGACTGTCGTCTGTTAGGCTTCACCATCTTCTCTTCCTTCCCTGCATCCTCTGCTTCACCTAGCTCCTCTCGAGATGACCACTTGCGGATTTTGTTTGTTGTCTTGACGCTTTGTTTCTTTATTTTCTGTCCAAGACCTTTCCACTTCTTCTTGGCCTTTTCTCTGTCATGTTGGCTGCTTTCTTCACCTTAGAAGGAGAGAATATTCATTTAAATGAATGAAATAAACCTTGAGAGGCAGATATTTCTTCATTGGCATTCTTAAAATGCATAACCACCTGGCCATTTTTTTTGTGGCCACTTTTTCATGATCCCTTAGGTGATTTTTCCAATGACCCAAGTATTAAGAATCCTGTCTATAGTATTACCAAAGAGTGACCATTTTATTCAAGTCCCTTGAGTGGTCACTGTACTAATGTAGGCAGGTGTAACTGTACTCCACATCTCACCTGTGCTTTTTGATCCCCCTGCGGCAGTTGGACTTAGGTCTTTGTTGGACTTGCTGACGTCATTTGAAAAGACGTCGCTGTCATGTGACAGACTTCTGGCCAATCCCAGACTCTCCAGGGACAGTTCAGACGAGCTTCTGGACCCATGTCCGCTGTCTCTGCTCGCGATGGAGTGTTTGGAATTTCTGCTGAAACAGTCGGTTGGGGAGACTGACAACGTGCCTATCTGTATCCAGCCAGCGACATCAGGGAGCTGCAAGATAAGTTTTTAGAGAGTTTTATTCATCGTGAATTTCTTGCTGCTTCTGTCTAATACAATGCATTTTGTATAAAGCAACAGTCATGTATATATAAGCAGGAAATTGAAGACAGGAAAGGAGATAACCTTTTCTGGAACCTTTGACCTTTCTTTCAGTGCATCCCCCCCCAACGTGCCAAGCATGTGGAAATACTACAAAAGTACAAGCGAACACACAAACCACCAAAAAAAAACCTTAGTTGATGAGTGTCTACTATATCATCAAGTTCTTCTTTAATACTTGCCAACAGTTTCAACCTGTATGATACCTTCCTTTTACCCCCCAAACATCTGCGTAGAGATTTCTTGTCCCACCTTTTCAGGCTCAAAGAACATTTCCCTCTTCAAGTGATCAGGCACGTCTGTTGGCTCCATCTCACTCACAGCAGACTCCAGTTGTATGTTGATCTCCCGGTGCAGGGCAATGACCTCTCGGTCACTGCCGAAACGCACGAGACTCTCGCTGAAGTCACACAGCGGCTTGAGGTGGCTCTTCTCTGTACTGTGCTTACTTTTCTCGTCTTGAAATCTCAGCCACATGTCTCTCGCAAACTTGTCCACCTAAGGAGAGAATATTTCTTTGTCACAAGTGAAGTTTGACGGGGGGCGCCACAGACTTTCTGCAACACACTGCTCACCGAGTCATGTGTGTCTTCTGCATCACAGAAGCAGTGGATGGCTTATTCTTTGGCATACAATTTTTTAGTGCAGTTGAAACTTTGGGGAGTCCAATTTCTTGGGTTGGAACTTACAGTTTAGACTTCATTCACAATGACTTCTTCCAACACAGATAAACTTTCAAGAGAAATTCCTTAACATTATTCATAACACACCAGATGTAGATGATGCATGTTTAACAGAAATTAAAAGACTTTTAAAAAAGGCTGCCACGTCCATTCAACTTGCTTATATAAATACTGCAGTTACATTTTGTATAGAAGAGGATATACAAGAAATGGACCACCTGATTGAGAAGGTCCTGTTCTCGCTGCCTGAGGACCTCAATAATGGTGTCCAGGATCATGTCTGACTGCATCTGGATCTGTGTGTTCACCTCCTGGATGCTCATTTCCAGATCTTCCTCCATCTGAAAACAGTGTAGGTATTCTTTTAGTGGCTGCTCTGGTGCTGAAGACCGGTAGAGAAAAAAAGTGATCTTGATCCAGTTTTAACACACCAGGGCTCGAAATGATTTTTTCCTGCATACCTGCACTTGTGCAGATAACACTAAAAATTATCAAGGATTTAATAATACTTTTATGGAGGTCTGAGATCTTTGAATTCTTGTTCTTTTATACACACCTGCCACCTCCCCTGCCGCCATTGGTCCAGCCACATCTCCATCGCCTCTCTGAACCCGTCAGCGACCTCGTCCACTTCGCAGGTGTCGTGGTGGATGTGGATGGTGCTGGCACAGCGCGAACACGTCACCACGTTACAGTCTTCACAGTAGAAATCCTCTAACAGAGTAAATCCATGTGAAAAAAAAACGTGTTAACAAAAGAATCAATATTAAAAGGGAGAGGCAATAATATGAAATCTGGAGAAAAGGAGATTCAAAATAATGCAGGCTTCTTTAAGGGACAGTTCCAAACCAAAATTGCAAAGCACAACTCCAAAATTACCAGCCAAATAAGCATACCCTTTGGAGCACACTGACCTGGTTTGTTATGCCGTCCACAGACACTAGGTGGGGCTTTATGCATCTCCAACAGGTGGTTTGATGAGCAGAGGGAGCAGAGGTACTCATCACATTCAGTACACCTGCAATGACGTGTGTGTGTGTGTGCGTGTGGGGATGAGATTTGGTTTTTACTACTGTTGATATGTCGCTGATGAATTGGGAATAATAAAGCGTCTCAAACAAGACAGGCACTAAAATCTATTGCGATTAGATGGCAACTATTTAATGTTTGTTGTATGTAGTGTTATGTGTTGTTGTTGAATGTTGCCAAAAGAAATGACGATCAATATTTTATTTACACGGTACAGGGTCCCAGTTCTTTTTGTATTATTTTATTATTAGTTTTGTGTTTGTCATACTTTGTTGGGGTGGTATATGGACTAAGGTACTGTTGAAATTGTCATGGGCATTATACATTTATATGATGATAGTCTGTTTCAACACTTGATAAAATGAAAAATTCCTAGAAACGGACATAAATAACACTATCAAGCTCGCTCCAGAGGCGTCGCCAAAATACCAAAAGCTGCACGTCACACACTGTATAACACTTACATTTCCAACTTCTTTTCACCCAATTTCAAACAAACAAACAAACAAACGCACCTCTTTGTTGCTGGGACGAAACACTTCCTGTATTGCTGGACCTGTTTGGCGCGGTTGGGACAGTAGTGCCGAAGGTAGATGTTGTTGGTGAACTCGGAGATTTTGGGACTCTGACTGCCGATTCTGAAGAGGAAACCTCGGGCCTTGTGCTGCAGACCTGGAACCCCCTCCGGTGGCAATGGTGTCGTCTCCTTACATACGGGACATTTGACCTGATCCTTTTCCGTGTTATAACCTGAAGCGATTTAAAACTGATATTTGGTACCATCATATTTCCGGCAGGAAGCGGTAATATTTACCAAATTCGTTTTTTTTTCATGATCTCTTAGGGATGAAAAAAAATCATCTGCATCAAGCCAGCTTCCGGTGTGGTAAACCATGAAACTCCACTGATATTGACATTTACTACCATTTCTTAGCACATTTTCGTCATCAATTCATACTTGTAGTAGCCAAAAAAAAAAAAAAAACAAACAAGCTACGTGATGAGTCCCTTTTTGGGTACCACCCATAAATAGCTAGAACTAGCTTTCGATACAAAACAAGCAACTGTTTCTGTCAGCAACATCGCACTTTGCCTCACAGATATCATAGAATTATTTTAATTACTACATTAAAGGAATCTGAAGAAAATTGACTTTACAAATTCCCTGAAATTGCATTGAATGACTTTAAACGATCAGTTGTAAAATTGATGGAATCCCGACGTACCTATGATACAGTCCTGACAGAAGACATGCCAGCAGCTCAGAAGTCTGGGGTTGTTGACGGGATCCCCACACAGGCGACACCGGGCGAATCTAAACTCCCCGTAGTCCATTGTGTCTTCAGAGTTATTGTAGTAAGAGCTCTAGTGTCAATGTAAACACCATTTTTACTTCAAGTGACAGTTGGTTTTAGTCTCTGTGTGACTGGCTGAAGAAAAGTTCTAAAACGGGAACTATGCGGCTCCCGGATGTCTTACTATACTGAGGGACGACTACGTACGGTGCCCCAGGTGTCGGTTAGCTCAAGTATCAGGAATAAGTCCACAGAAAGAAACACTACAAGATTTTGCCAATCCATCCGCAACTGATACTAGATAGTTTTATCAGGTTAGTGAATGGTTCAACATCAAGGTTTACTCGCACAAAGCTGTTAGTAGCAACTCAATGGCTACAGCCCGTTGAGTGAAGTAGGAGATGCCTATATTCCAGCACACGGGGCAAGGCGCCCAAACCGACAGAAAAGTAGCCTCCATCAGGCCACCCTAGGGGGTTACAAATAGAAGACTTCGGCAAAAATAATTAGCCAGGGTAGGAGTGAGCCGAGGTAAAACAACATTCCCCTTAAAGACAGGGAAGCAACGTTTCTACTGTGTCAGAGAGAGTCAGAGAATAGCCGATGGCCACACAAATTCTCCTTTGAATGCGGCCTAAAAGGTTTGGGGCAATCGTTTGAGCACTGTAGCACAGAGATGCGAGCAGTGCTCCATGAAAGGACGAATAGTTAGTCTGATAGAGGCAAGCAGAAAATCAGCTGCGTTTTGGACGTAAAGAAATTTTCAAATGGCGGGACTGCAGGCAACCTGAGCCCGGAGAACAATTGTTACCATGGCTGCTAAGCGATAGGCCTGCTGGATATGGACTAATCACTCTCTCCGCAGCAAGGAATATGAGTCTTGAGTTGCACCAAGTGAAAGTGCTTTGAGATTAAGACTCCAAGGTATAGTCGAAAGAAATGAATAAAAGAACATGAGCTTACCTTTCAATATGAAGTCTTTTGTTCTTCTCCCTGGTTTTGCTTTCCTTCCAAGAAGCTAGGGAGCTGCTAGCGGCCTTGCCCGCGGGTGTTGTCACCTGCACACCCCGACCGACCGCTTCTGGAGTGACCCAGATTTCACCCGCGAGTTGCAAAAGCTCCTGAACGATACGTCGTCTGAAACTTCAGTATAAACCGGTTTCTTTTCAGTCTTTCAGTCAGGAAAATAAGTTATTCTCACGAGAAGCGGTCGCTCAAAGCCACAACTTAACAACCACAAAGGTCACGGCTAGTCGTTGATTCCGCGTTTCAAACTTTGTTGTTGTTGTTGTTGTTGTTGTTGATGATGATGTCTTCCTCTGGCTCTCTTCGTCTTCCTTGTCACTCCCGCCAAAATATCCACAACCAAGAATAAAACAGTGCTTTTTCTCTGTGCACTCACTCACCCGTACGTACTGTAGCTTCGCGTAAATCACATTTCTGTCCAAGTGAAGTTTCGTAGAGAGTTCAACCTTGATCTGAAGGCTATCAATCCTTTTTCTGACAGACGTTTTGTTGCACCCGTGCTCTCTGCAGTGTAGTTTGTCAGGTAAGTTGTGCAAGCACTACAGCAGGGGGCTAGCGCATAGCCTCTAGGGTTGAACCACAGAGCATGCGCGGTGTGTGAAGGATAGGCCCTGTTCCACTCTGTGCAGAGCATAGGGGTGGTGCCCATCTCTATTTCTGTAGCCCTTGGGCCACATGCACTGCAGCAGGGGGCTAGGTAGTGTTGTGTATCCCTGTCTTTATCACAGGTGCTGGGTGCTAAGCAGAGAAAGCAGTATGTACAGCTTTTTAAAGTCTTTGGTATGACCCGGCCGGGGTTTGAACTCACGACCTCCCGGTTACAAAGCGAGCATGGAGATATTACACCGGTTGTGAAAACGAATTTTATTAAAAAAACAATCTTAGGAAAACCTTCAAGACTTGTGTCGAATTGACGTCATTGCAACGATTAAACCACTTTAGTAACCAAAGCTCTGTTTATTGAATAAGACAAGTGCAAAAACAAGAACATGGTGGCACTGGGCTTAAGTTTCAAAACTTAGTTTGTCAGCACAACATGACGTTAATATGCAACTTTAACAAAACCAAAACATACTAATAGTTTTTAGTGAAAGAAGTAACAACAAAAGCTTCTGTTTTTTTGTCTATTAAAAAAAGGTGCAGAAACTGAGAAAGAGAGGATCATTAGTTTAATCGACTGTCCCGGTTTTAAAACTGGCCGGGCAGGTACTATTGTTTCGGTGACCTGCGTTTAGCCATTTGGTGTTAACATCATTATATCGAAAGGTCGTGCATTCCATTACTTATAATATACATAATTGGCTGTATGAAAACAGGTCAACCGAAAAAGCGTTACGATCTTTCCTCCTATCCTAAGATGAACAGATTACTTAGTAACGTTATATAATCATGGACTTATTTACAAAATCATATTCTAGAGTCCAACATCATTTGAGTTCATGTAATGTTATATCTTGCATTGTCTCTACTATCTTGTCCTGCACTCGGATAATTACTTCACTCAAACCCACATTATTAATGCTCCAGATACAAGATAACATGTTGATGGCATTTGTGTCATTGTGATACTAAATGGTTTGTTGTCCGTGTGCCTTTTATGTTCTGTAGAGTATTTGCAGTGTTTTCGAACATTGGCACAAAGTCAAAGGGCATCTACCGACTCTAAATTCAACCATGCATGTGACTATTATAAACAGCACAGCTCATTGAAAACCGTACATAAAGCTCGTGTCACACACACAGGAACTTCCCACGACTTTTAAATTGCTCCCGACCAGACCCCGACCAAGGTTGGCGCCGGGTCGGGACTATTATTAGCCTGGAATCCAGCCTATTTTAGTCACAGTTCACTTCTCTGATTGCATCCAAGCAGAATAATATTCTGAATATGGTTCTTCCGACTTTGCTTTTTTCAAAATTTATATTCGGGTGACGCAGACAGTAGTAGGCAGCCTCGCCGACCATCTCCAAACTCACAGACGACCTTACAATGGTCCGGAGAGGGTCGGCAGGCCATCTAGTGTGACCGGGGCTTGACGTAAGACCCGATTTAGACCCGGTTTACGATTACACGGCGGCAAAATCCGTGCGTACGAAAATTGCACTCAGGCAAAAAACCTGAAAACTGCGTACGCACGCGAGCGTACGAAACCCACGTACGTGGAATTTTTTTCTGCGTGTAAATCGGCATGCTTTGACGTACGTCAAGAACGTACGTTACCTCGAAGCCTGGCAACGTACGCAGTTTTCGCAGTGTAAATCGGGGCTATCTAGTCAGTAAAACTTGTCCCTCGCTCAGTTTGCCAAGCGCTCTTTGTTTTCTGTCCCTTTTGACTCAGTACTCTTTGTTTTTCAGGTACCTCGATTAGTAGTACGGATTGCGCACGTTTTTTCTTCCAATCAAAATGCCCCTTTACTCTTCTATCAGTCTTAGGTGAGTCATATGAGTAAAGGCTCTGAGCTCTCTGTTTTCTCCAGTTCAAGTGGCCACGATCTTTAGCTCGACTGTGAATGTCAGTGGACGGGTTTTCTGGCTGTTCATACAAAGCGTTTACAGCTCCTAGGTTTGGGTCCATTTCGTGTTGGCCATAGTCTGTGACACCGTATTCTGTGTCGAATGTACGTGATCTAGATCTTCTCCAGTCCAGATGTCCTCGTTCTTCAGTCATCGTAGGGGCGACGTCCTGGATAAAGGAGTGAATAATTAGCCTTCTTTTCTAGCAAATAGCGTTTGTTTCTCTCAGCTGGACAGCTGAAACAGCCCCTCCCCCGATACAGCCCCCTCCTCCCTCGATACAGCCCCCTCTCCCCAATACTCCCCAATACACCCCCCCAAGAAACCGCCGCAAGTTTGCACTTATGGGAAGAAACGCCGACCAATTTTTTGTCAGTTTAAAATCATAAGTAAAAATTTTGAATGAATAGATTAAACGAATGATTTCCCTTTTTTTGGCAAATATGGCTGCGAAAAAAAACCCCGCAAGAATTGAGTGAGTACATACCCAGATGAAATAGCCTTAAAGCTGGCTGTGAAAAAAATATATCATTGTGACAGGATACAATCATGTATTTCGAGCATTGTAACACCTTGATGTACGTCGTTAGCTGGGAGTTAGGATATAATTGAGATAGATACATTAATGGAATCAGTCTTTACTCAGAGGAACACGCTTCCCTGTCGACCAAGTCACTGAAATATTAGTATTGGCAACCGCCACTTTTTGGTGGCGCCTAAGGAGCGGAGCCGAATAATCCTGCATTTCAATATGAAAATAAAAATCATGCAAATAAATGTGTATTCTGAAATTTCATTTATGTTGCCATGTATTTTTGGTGAAATCTCGGTGAGTTTGTCTACAAGAAGAAGGTTTTTGTTGCGTTGGACACAAAAGGTTTAGCTATAGGTTTATTTCAAAGACAAAAAAAGACTCACCGATGTCTGTTTTTCCTCCTCCTTTTGCATTGCAGGTATCATGACTCTTTGATACGTGGAAAACCGTCTGGCAGACTGAACAACTTTCTTCACGGGCTCCTCTCCTTGTCGTAGCTCCTCCTCTTTCCCCGGATGTTGCGACAGTTTCTTCCCCGGCTCAGTGATGTCTGATGGAGAGGAGGACCGTTTGTCTGTTGTTTCATCCCCGTGTTTCCATATCTTGTGCTTAAAACGTTGCCAGCTGGTCGTAGCCTCTTCGTGGTCTTCTTCACCTTAAGAAGAGAAGAAACAAACCCGTAAATAAAGCATAATTGATAACCAATATATTTTACAGCTGGTGACAGACATTACACTCATCTAGGTTTATGTTGTCCTCGATCTTGAAACTCTATGCTCTTCGCTCTGTCATGATGTCATTGTTAACACGTGAAGGTCCCTATATGAGAGTGCCCACCTTCCGGTACATTTCTTCTAAATGTGACTTTGTTAAGTACAAGAATCCCTCAAAAGATCAGGAAATGGACAACGTCTTTCCAAGACCTACCCACATACCAAATATCATTACAATCCATTAAGGTTTCTTAAGTTATGCTGACCAAAAATATGCGGAAATACACACACACATCCACATCCACACACACACACACACACACACACACAGAGGGGGGGATAGAGAGAGAAAGATGGAGAGAGAGAGAGGGAGGGAGAGAGGAGAGGGAGAGAGAGAAAGAGAGAGAGAGAGAGAGGAAGAGACAGACGCACACACAAACAAGCTCAGACAAAGAAAGAGAGAGAGACACACAGACAGACTGACAGACAGACGCACACAGACAGACCAAAAAAGCTACCTCCATTTTCATGGAGGTAACAAATTGGAAACGTTTTAGAACACTACATACACAATGAACTACTCACCTGACAAAGGTGTGTTTTTCGGTTCCTGTGTAGACGTCAGGACACGGACGTCTTCGTTAGACTTGCTGACGTCATCAAGTTCTGCTAGTCTGAGCTGGTTGGTCCTCGGTGGAATGACGTCACCAGCACGTGACTGCATCCTGGCCAATCCCAGACTGATGAGAGATAGTTCTGATGAACTTCTGGACCCTTGTCCGCTGTCTCTGCTGATGCGCCTGGACTTTCCGTGCTTATCTGGACCAGAGATGGACACTGCACCGATCTGTATCCAGTCAGCAACGTTTGGGAGCTGCAAAAGCAGGAAATCGAAGTTGTTATTGACCATCCAACTTGCTGCGTGCTAACCTTTTTGTTGCTAGCCCTTTGTCTGATTCGATTCCTGTCAGCTGTTTATCCCAAATATTCATTTTAAAGAATAATCAATAGTGTAAACATCTGATTCATCCATATATGTCTGTTCAGTTCTGACATTTGTGTCAACTTATTCATATGCATCCAATGCAGTTTTTAGGGGTTGGAAACCCGATTTTTCAAAGTCAATATTCTAGTCATTTATCTGCAAACTGAGTTGAAACCACACTTCCCCAATATATATTGACTCTCATGAAGAAAAAATACCCAGAATTCTGACGGATTCGAAAATGGTTACTGGAAGGGCCCTTGGCTGATTTTAGGGTACCACCCATAAATGAAAGGACTCACCTTGGGGCTTGTTTCTGCAATTTAAACTACCCAAAGTATGAAATGCTGATTTAAATGTGCTAATGTGAAGCAGTATGTTTCAATATCATAAAGATTGCCTTATTCAGAATACTAGCTATATAGTATTTCCAGTTTTGCTGCTCTGAAATCGCATTGGATGCCTTTAAGACAGTCTGTACCTACCTTCTGTGGTGCGAAGAGTATTTCCGTGCGTAAGTCGTCTGACACGTCTGTCGGTTCCATCTCGCTTATGGCGCACTCCAACTGTTGTGTCATCTCCCGGTGGAGGGCAATGACCTCTCGGTCAGTGCCAAAACGCACGAGGTTCTCACTGAAGTCGCACAGCGGTTTGAGATGGTTGTACTCTGAGCTACACTTCACCTTGATCTTCTCCTCTTGAAATCGGTTCCACATGTCTCTTGCGAACTTATCCACCTGAGAAACGAAACATTGTTTGCTTGTTTGTTTGTTTGTTTGTTTTATTATGATCTTCATTAGTGTAAGGCCACATTGACTTAATTTTATGGATGACATCCTCTGAAGACCACCAAAGTAGTGTGCGCGGGCGAAAAAAAATTCCAGCCAAAAAAATGCTGCTAAACCACAGGAATACCAAGCTGGTGTTGTGAATTAGGGGTAGTACACAGCGACCTTCACGACAAGCCGAAAATCAATGCGCGCGCTGATGTCATCCGTAAAATTAAATCAGTGTGGCCTGAATTTTACACTATTTTTCCTTGAGTCCATAGTGCATCACCAACAGTCAGATAGTAGTATACGTATTTGGACCACCACACACCGGGCAAGATCGTTGCGATCTTCCACCCAACATCTGCTTGGAGATTAGATCCAAGACAGCTCACCTGATCGAGTAGATCCTGTTCTCGCTGCCTGAGGACATCCATGATCTCGTCCAGGATCCTGTCCGACTGCATCTGGATCTGTGAGTTGATCTCCTGGATACTGTTTTCCAGGTCTTCTTCGATCTGGAAACGATATAAGAAATCGTAGATTTCAGATCAAAGCAACATCCTCTCTCCAGCAACCGTTGTCACTCTGGAATCCAAACATACACCCCCGCTAAACCAGCACTGCCCAAAATGATACTTCCGTCCCAGAATTAAAGTAACTAGTCATTAAACGTTATTATTGTAAGACCCTATAATAGCTTCAAGTCGCGTACACCTTTCTTTAAGCAGTGCAGTACTCGCCTCTCTGGTAGGTGGCACTGCAGATACGTGCAGAGGATAAAAGACAGCAGATTTGGAAAAAATGATCATACATTTTACTGCAGTTCGTAGAATCGTCAATGATGGCGCTACAGGACACAAACCTGCCACCTCCCCTGTCGCCATTGGTCCAGCCAGTACTGCATGACCTCTCTGAACCCGCCTGCGACCTCCTCGATTTCCCACGTGTCGTGATGAATGTGGACAGTAGAAGCACACCGTAAACAGGTGACGGTATTACAGTCTTCACAGTAGAAATCCTCTAAGAAAACAAAACAAAAAAATAGGTCAAAAAAGCATGAAATCTGAGTTGGTAAAAGACATAATGAGAGTGAAACTGTTCTCCAAGTCAAGAAAGTTGACTCTTTCAACCGAATCACTCGGTCTTCATCAGCTATCTGACCTGAGTGCTGTAGACACGTGACACTTTCTCTCAACCGGGACGGGGGGCGGTACCGACTTCCGACGAACTTTGACCCTGTGCCGACGTCTCCCGTGACGAAAAATCACGTGTCTACAGCACTCGGGTCAGAAAGCTGATGAAGACTGAGCGACGTCGCCTCGGTCGAAAATTCCGGTGAGTCAATTCTCTTGAGTTTAATTCTCATCATGTCAATGATCTTGGTAGAATAGGTGAATAGACTTGCCACAAATACCACTGGTTACTCACTCATTCGTAGCGAAAGTATAAGGTATTTACCAGCGAAGAAAAGACGGTTTTAGAGCTCATACAATTCTGTCAATGTGTCAGTAGATCAATGCAGCATCAAAGTATTACACTTACCTGCTTTGTCGTGCTGCTTACAAACGGTAGGTGGCGTTTGGTGCATCTCTAACAGATGCCGTGATGAACAGTGGGAGCAGAGGTACTCGTCACATTCGATGCACCTGGAAGCAGGTGGAAGTGTAAGATTTATTAGTAGCTGCAGGTGTTACGGAGTTAGTTGGAATGCTGTTTCTTATCTTAAAGGCATCCAATGCAACTTCAGGGCGTCAAACAAATATACATCTTCTGGATGAAGAAATCTGTCTGATGTTGACTACCATTCTTAGCACATTTTCGTCACTATTTCATACTTTGAAGCGTTTGAAATAGTTCCAAAACAAGCTACGCGAGGAGTTTCTTTAGTTTTTGGTACCACCAATAAATAGCTAGAAACAGTCTATGATTCAAAACACGCGACCGTTTTCCGTCAGTGACATCGCATTTTGCCTCACAGATCATCGTATGGTATGGGAAAGGATCGATTCAACTTAATAGATTAATAGAACTAGAAAAGTAACATTATGTAACCTAGCACCAGTTACCATGGTGATAGACATCAACAAATCAGGTCATTGGCCAGGTCAGAGGTCACCGTTTGGAGAAGAAGGAACTGAGCAAAAACAATATGTTTTCCTTCGGTAAACATAATAACAAGAAAATTGACTCTGAAAATCTGCCCTGAAACTGTATTCGATGCCTTTAAAGGTTGAAATATATGCGCCTGTAAACTGTACCTTCTGGTTGCGGGAACGAAACATTTCCGGAACTCCTGCACCTGTTTAGCGCGATGGGGACAGTAGTGCCGAAGGTAGACGTCGTTCGTGAACTCGGAGATCTTCGGGCTCTGACTTCCGATTCGGGAGAGGAAGCCACGAGCCCTGTGCTGCAGACCGGGAATCCCCTCTAGTGGCAGCGGAGTGATTTCTTTACATACAGGACATATGACGAAGTTCTCCTCTATGTTGTAACCTGAAATTATAAGAACTAATAAGAACCATTTGCAAAGCAAATGCATAATGTTTACCTTCGCATATGGTCCGCTATGTTTATTCTTACTCAAACACATTCATATATATGTTCAGACGGGAGTCTAAATCCCTCCTGCAATGAAATTGCAACATGAACAGTCTGGTTCTGGTCATTGACCTTCTTGGTTTGGAGAAGAGGAAGAAGGACACGTAGCATAAACAATATGTTTTCCTTCGGTAAACATAAATGCACTTCATATTTATCTATTTCAACAAAAGACTTCGTTTTATAAAGTAATAGGCAATCATTCAGGATGGTGATGATTTTTAAGTTTAGTTAAATCACAGACTTATCAAACTTACCTATGATACAGTCCTGACAGAAGACGTGCCAGCAGCTCAGAAGTCTGGGGTTGTTGACCGGATCCTCACACAGGCGACACCGGGCGAACCCAAACTCGCTGTGACCGTAATCCATGGTTGCTGCTGAGGATCTCTACCAAACGACGTTCCTATGTCTCTGTATCTGTATCCTAACACTATACCTAAGAGTAGAGTAGAATTAGGTTAGAAATACAGTAGCTCAATCAATTCGGTTTCGAACTCAAGCTTGAATGAGAAGAACTGAAAAGATATAGTAGTAAATGTTTACCTCTTTGAGACTCGTAATACACAAATCGAGCCATAATATATAGGCTGTTGTTGTTGGTGCTATATGTACATGTATACCTGTCACATAACTCTAACTCAATATTGAATGAGACGAACTGAAAAATATAAATCGGTTTACCTCTTGAAATCACACAAAACGAGTCGTAACCCTATGCTGTTGTTGGTGGTGCCATACCTGTCGTAGTGTGTCTAGGTTCGTCTGCTTTCTATCAGGCCTGTCAATTCATCCACTGAGCTTATAATAGCCGTCCTTAGTTGTGCTCGCTGTGGCTGCCGTTTGTCCAGTTTCTACCCAACGCTGAATTTTCCGAGTCTACTGCCACGTAAACGCTCAACTTTGCAGTTGTAATCGGCCCACAAGCTCTCTAAGCTTGTAAGCTACGGTGCAGGCGTGCTGTGTGAAAATAAGAGGGTTCTCCGTCTAGCTGAGAAGTACCTCTTATCGAATAGCTGAAATTTCTCACGGAGACCAGTAATAGAATTAAGGCGTTCTCGTGTTCAAAACAACCTCGCGGAATGGTGTGAGCGCCAGTGAATGCTCAAGACCAAACGTAAGCAGCTGAATCTTTGAAATAGAGCTGTGTACCTAAACAAATTTTAGGTACAGGTACAGGTACAGGTACACAGGTTTAGGTACAGGTCCGGACCTGAACCTGTACCTGAACAATTCGAGCAATGTATATGCTCTTCTGAACTCCTGTAATAACAAGAAAAACATTGATATAGGTTTAATTTTTGTTTATGGAGAATGTTCAGATAAAATATAGGTAAAAGTAAAGATGTTTTTGTTTTCATGAACACACTGTCCTTACACAGTGACCCATTGTTAACCAGCTATTTACACATTTGAGGTCACAAATAGGCATAAAATTGGTGTGAAATTGTTTAGGTACAGTACCGGTACTGAGGGATTAGGTATTTTGGACCTGTACCTAATCAATTTTTCCGGTACAGTATCGGTACTGCGTACCGGTACACAGCTCTACTTTGAAAACTTGTCACATGCATGTCAAAATCTTAATGCCTTGTTACACATATAGGATATTTCCCCGACCACCAACAAACCAACCAACCGAGCTTGGCTGAAGTTCGGGAACAATCTGTCCATTACACGCCTACCTTTCTATACATGTCGAATAAAATCTGAGTTAAATTTGAGTCAAATTTGACCCTCGAACATGCCCTGAACAGGGCTGACATGCTCCCGAACACCTGCCAACTACCATATGACGTCATACTATGACAACAAAGCTTAAGCCCCAAAATGGACAAATGGGAAACTACAGGTAAGTATGAGGTCATTGTAATGTACCTGTGGTTACACGAGTTCAATTCATTGTTATCGGAGACATTTGGGAAAATAGATGAATTTACGTGAAAAAAAGAAATCACTGCTACTCGAACCGTGGTCAAATTGTGCTACGAGCTCTCAACCAAATATAAAATATTTTACAAATATCTTAGTATTGATAGGCGCAGAATTGTGTATGTGTGAGACACAGAAAGGCCAGAAAATTCTACAATTCAAATACACCATGCCAAGCTCTAAAAATCCATCTTACGCAGAAGCAAATACGAGAGCATTAGATCCTACATTGTGAAAAGTAGAATGCCTCCTAGACAGGCATTTTGTGTTCTTTTTATCTTTCTAGTCGATATCTACGATATGTACTTCGACAAAAAACAGCGGTCAATATGTTCACCTACCTTTACCAGTCGTGTCGACCCTGATTATGATATAACCAGGATGGCCAAATCTTCAGAAAACGATCCGTTACTTGTTACTTGTGATACCTGTTATTTGTTATGCGTCACTGACATGTTAAAGGGCACAAAGAGCTGGGTAGATACCACACAGAGAAGCCGCACAGTCAGGATTTAGCAATGAAGACAGTACTCCATTTTCAAGTTCGACGGGAGGATCATTCTTGTAAAATAATTTACTTCCCTGACCACGTAACACCCACAGCAACAATTTCGTCTGATTGAAAGAAGTTGGATCAGAGAAGTTGTCTACCCCTTTCTGAACCTAGAGGTGGAACATTCCAAAAGCTAATTGTAGCGTCCCCTTTTCTGTGGCAGCTGCTGTAAGCACAGTGTAATCAGGTTTAGATTTTTGCCTCGGAGGGACAATTACTACGAGACACTGTTTTGTTGTTCAGTAGAGCGGCTAAATCTACTCTCTCGGCTTATTTTTTTTTTACGTGTTTTTGGGCGTTTTTATCGTACTTTCTTTTTTGCACTGGTATTTTTTTTACGCCAGCTCAGCTCAGCTCAAATGGTAACTGTTTGGAAATGGATATCGCCTGTCCAGTTTGTTACCGTCTTTTCAGCCATCAAAATATCTGCTTGGAGATTGGGCTAAATAAAACTACACTATATCCATTTCAGGTAAAGATCCTCAGCTGAAAAATTGTACGTTTTGCTGAAAGCTTGTCGATTCCATGGAAGTTTATATATGCTATGTCTGGTACAAACTATATTTTAGTAGCTTTTTAATGGCTACCATAGAGAACAATCACCGAGCATCTCTTGCCTGTTGCTAGCCCTTGCGTGTGCAATGTGACACGTAGACAAGGTGCAGTTTCTTAACAATATCAACTGCTTAACAATTTCTGTCACAAACAAGCATTCATGTGATGACGCAGTGGTTGGTAATATCATTACCACGCTAAACATCAACATTCTGGGCTGAACAAAGGTTGGGATCGTCAAGAAAAGGTCATCACAGGTCATGACGTCATACAAAATGGCGGCCAAATTAAGAAGTACGAACACTGGCATACACGACTGGCATGCTTTCGAGCATTTTTATATGTATCAATACTTTCTGCTTCATTTTTCAGTCATAACTATAAAATGGAGATATTTGATCCCATGCACGGCCTTTTTTCTCTTTTCTTTTCTCCGAGCACTTTCACCAATAATGATAATCGAAACAAAGTCTGACATCACTTCTGCATATAACACAATATAGACAATATTCTTTATATATAGGATAACATTCTGTCTGTAGACAAAAAAATCGTCGTATCTGAAACACTTTCTGTCGCACTCAGTACGATATAATGACGTCAACATATCAACATATATCGTCAATATATCTGCATACTAATCAGACATTCGGGGCTAATTTTCGCATGTACTCATTTGCATATTCGTGATCCTTCAAATGACAAATGACTTCATTAATCGACAGCAATGTTTCAGTTTCGTGATCACATACTGGAAGAAACTCTCACAGTTCGTACTCAGCCGTACTCACTGAGTTAATATCACTGTAAAGCGGTAAAAACATGCCCATATCAATTGAAACTCTACTTAACATCGCTATCTAACAGTAACACTTCAAATAAGATTATGTTTTCACCTGCAATTTGATAAACATGATTGCTGACAGGTCAGTTCAAGAAGTACTAGTAACTGTTTTTCGGACAAGCAACTGTCCAATATGTAGATACTTTCATGGCTACAGTCTAACTTCTAAAATTAAGCTTGTTCCACAATTGAGAGCTTCTCAGCGTATATACCACTAAGTTCTTTCTAGTTCACATCATTACTATCCAAGTATCGGTTTCTAAGTCCTTCCACAGCAACAGTTTCTTTTGTTTTACAAGCACAAGCCTTCAATGCCAACGTTCACCGCCATCTCCTCCCATAGTCACCTGTACCTCTCACTAACACTAAGTGGTCTTTTGGGTAAACTCGTTGAAAAAATGAATTCCCAGAGATATCTTTTGATAAGTATGGATATGATGCTTGTAACTTATTACACAGCAATTATTTTTGCTGGTTTACAATAACGACTACAATTTCTCGTACCCAGGATCTTCAAGACCAAAGCCAGAAAATGTGTCAAAGTGGTCGGTTATTTTGAACTTGTCGAACCCCTTGCACTGGACGCACTCCAGTTTCAACGGCCTCTTCTCCTCCCTCCATCCCCCGACGATTCGGAGACGTGGATGGTCCCCTGCATACCACCCGCGCGAATGGACAACGTACTGTCCCTCCTGAGTTGAAACAAGACATTTGTATTTGTATTGTACTTTCCACTATAACGCTAACATTTTGATGTGCATTCTTTAAATCATGCATGCTTTTATTATGCAGCAGATGGTTTTAACTTAAGATAGTTTGGAGGTGGGTTATTAGTCTAAAAACTAGGCCCTCTTTTGCTGGGGAATGTTAACGTTAACGTATATAGGCCGAACGAAATTCAGGCTCACGAAAAAAGACGCTAGCCTGGTTACCAAACCTATTTTGTCTGCCGAAACTCCTTTGTCCTCTCAAAAAAGACTCGGCAGCTAAAATAGGCTTGGAAACCAGGCTAAAACCAAGGTTATTGCCCTTACTAAAACTAAAGTAAAAGAGGTTGGACATGTCATGGACTTGAGTATTGCAGCATCTAGCGGAATAGATGTGAACTACATTTCAATATACACTACTCCCACATGAAAAAATTCAATCCTGTTCTGTGTTTTCTGACTTTCACCGTCTTTGAGTTTAAATGTAGGCTTTGAATTCTGTCAACAAATTCTTTTGTTGTAGTTAATATGTTACATCAATTTCTCTATATAAATTGAAGTAAGTCTTTAAACTATTCTATCGGACCTTGAACGGGCTAATAGTAATAACTAATGCGCACGCACAGTTCACTATGCGACCCCGCCATGTTGCTGACCTTACAAATAAATATAACCATGCAAATATTGACTGATGGTGAAGAAAGACTTTATATGTTACTAATGTGACCTTTCAAGGTCCTTAGTGGAGCAGAACCTTATCAGGATAAAACTGTAGGGAGAATAAGTTAGTGAAGTTAGGACATGTTTTCTGTTACTTCTCAGTTTTCTTTCCTAACTACCTCCGTGAGCGGAGGTACTGTTTTGAGTGTGTTTGTCTGGTTTTGTTCTGATTCTGATTATACAGTCTGATTGTAGAGTCTGATGGACTGATGTAGGAAAGAGTTCTGAAGTCTTTTTGTTCTGGCCGGGGGATGGAGATGGTGTTTTTGTTTCGTCCGGTAGCTGGTGATCTAGAGACAGGGACAAGGTCATGTGGGGGGTAGTCGCCCTGTAGCATATGTGTTAAGAATTTTTGTAGTGAATCACCAACTTCCAGTTGGTAGTATTTGGGCCATCGCACACCGGGGCAAGCCCCTACTCTGTTTGTGTGTGTTTGCTTCTGTGTTCGCACATCTAAATGACAGCTCATGTGTGGGGGAATTCCCTACCCACAGACCACAAAAGGTCAGACACAGAAGCTTAGCGGGAGTCTGTTGGTCGGGTGCAAGGAATACATTGAGACATAAACAGAGAAGCTTACAATGATAAAAGAATATAAATAAGAGAAGACATTCACAAAATTCTAAATTGATGTTCTGATGAATAAAAAAAATCTAACTATTTAACGGAGGTATAATATCTCTGAATTCTTGGTTATAAAAGTAACCCTCACCAGTCCAAAGCTGTCCTCTAGACCCATCGCCATAATGATGCCAGGGATGATCATGAACGGACCAATCAGAAGAGTCCCTGCGACTGCCGGGGCAACCACCTAAACATCACCCAGAAGTCAGCAAAATTTACATAAATTTACATAAATACCTCATCCAATCAGCTTATCAGACGTACCATGTCATCTCTCAGTCCATTTTTTTCTTCCTGGCCATTTGTATTGCAAGTGCTGATTATAAGACATTGACGTTTCTATCTTTGAAAATAATAAGGGCATGTATTTTTATAAAGACCGCTTGCATTTGTCCCAAAGTTGACCAAAACGTCAAGAATAAAATCACATTTTTTCTCAGTTAAAGTTCATGTTTAAATGTACGCTTTAAGTTAAATATTATCCACGTGAAGCATGGGGTCTCGGATAGGTGCCTCAATTCTCTTAAAATCAATATACATAAATACAAATATGCCAGCTTTGTGAGCAAATTTAGTACTAACAGGAACCTAAATTTAGATACCCATGCTACGTTATGTATTTAGAATTAATCTATAGACGACAAAGGGCCCACCTTTATGTGTTCTTTCGCCGATTTCCTCGGTGTCATCTTGTTGTCGTACACTTTCCCGTCGGAGTGTTTGTGCTTCTTGTAGGGAAAAGCACAGATGGTGAAGTGAACGGCCCCGGTCCTTCGGTAAAATGTCTTCCCCGGTTCCACCAACTCGTAATACAGCGGGCCGGCCTGGTTCAAACTCACCACAAGCGTGTCTTTGGTGTCGTTCGTGATAGAGATGGAACCTCCCATGGTTGTTGTACGTGTGCTATGTCACGTTCCTATATGGCTACCTGCAGACGACTTTTTTTGCGGTCGAGAAATCAGAAAGAACGTCGTCTTAATCGCCGTCCTTTCAATGCCACAACGCCACTACAAGTACAAGTACAACTGTACAACGCCAGGGCGTTCAAAAACAAATTTGCTGATTTAAACGAGCTCTTTTTAAAGCCTAAACGGTTGTCTACAATGTAGTAGTGAACCATGGCCGTTTACAAATTCAAAGTACAATTCCTCAGTCTTTAAATACATGCGTTGTTGTTCGTTTGATCTTGTGTCCCCAGAACGTTTGTCAAACGGTTCATGATTGGACGATTGTTGCCAATTTGCATGTTTGGGGCACCAGGTCCTGCCTTCTGATTGGGCAGTTCGAACTCGTCGCTTAGACTATGACGTGGTGTGGTTAAAAGTTCAGCCATGGCTGGACAAATCCGTGTCAATACTGGTTGATAATCAACCAATGGGCGCCTTTGTGCTTGGTGTGTGCAAGGACATTATATCTTGTACAATGTCTCTGGTGTGTGTAAGAGCGTGTACACAATAATAACCTATTAGGCCACAGCAAGTAAAGTTCATGGATGACATCCACGCGCGCATTGATTTTAGCCTGATTTGAAAACATCAACAACAACAATAAATTTCATAACCCTGGGCAGTGGTAAATATGACAAGAACTATGAGATATATATATAAACATTGCTTTATTCTATGGACGAAGTTTGTACCAAGTACATGAACATTTGCGATCAACCAATACACATAATGATATAACTAAATACACACTTACACAAATACTGCGGTGGAAAAATTAGAAATCAAACATCAGAATTTCAGAAAGAAAGCTTTAGGGACAATCTCGACATATTTTGTTCAGTCTACAACACAATACTACTAGCCTAAACAGGGGAACAGACAGTTTTTTTCTTTTTTCTATCTTTTTACAGTGTTTTCACCTATAACAATAAATACCCATGAATGTTGACAATGCGTAAAAACATCGTTGGTTGTGAACCCTGAATGTTACTTTTGAAAAAAATTACATATCATGTCATTTAGCCTCCGATATGTAGTTTCAGATATGTAAGGTTTTTAAAGAAGCCATTGGATTATCCTGACCCTGAGATAAGCATTAACTTCTTAATTAGAATTAATGAGAAATATTCAACAAATTTCGAAGTTTCGTAATATGTTAACATG